GTAACCTTGCTATTACTTGATAAATAAATGAAAACAACTTTCTTAAAGTTACAAAATCACTGAGGGGATACACTCACACAGAAAAAAAAAATATTAATTTCCCAAGAGCAGGTTGATTTATCTCAGTACTGAAACTATGTTTCACTACTGCCAAGAGTTATGGTTAGCCTTTTTATTTACACTTCATACAAAAATGTCAGCTGTTGTTATGCTTTTCTAAATGGTAGTTTCTGGTCTTCTTTGCTTTAGTGCTTGGAGATGTGACACTGAAAAGCCAACTAAAAGGCTGCATCTTTTTTATGCTAAATATCAAAGATGAGTCTCAGTTCCCTGAACGTGTTCCTCTTCCACCTTTTGCAAAGATCTTCTATAGGACTATCTTTTGTCTGTGCATTACCTCAAACAAATGAGGCATAATCCCAGCTGCACGTGGGAGAGTTCTTGTTTATTGTGCTAGTCATTAAAAAGAATTACTATCAAATGATAATATATTCTAGTAGATAAAATATTGTGGAATGTTGGAAAATACATTATCTCAGCAATTTTTAGATACTGCATTTCCAAAGGCACAGAGAGAATAATTCCATACCAGTGAGGGAAGAAAAAGATGACCTACAAGGGTCTTGCTTGTTAGAATACTGACTGATTTATTCACATATCCCTTTTTTAGGGCGGCCATTTTTATCTATGAAAAAACAAACAAATGGAAAAAAGACCTGAGTAAGTAGGACACTTTATTTCTTAAAGTGTGTATTCCTTCTTCTTTCATCTCATTAAAGCAAACAAACAAAAAACTTTTTTTTAAACTACTAAATACTAAAGAAAATCAATGTTTTTTTGGTTTTTAATTACAAATAATTTCTTACAGGCACACAGAATGGGCAAGAATAACAGGATCTGGACCAAATTCCTAGAAGCCACTCAAAAAATCAGTGTGAACCAGAATTTATTTTATTTAAGGAGCTTTTTCTTTTTTCATCAAGGAAGATAAATTTGTGTAGTCTAAGTATAAGATCTATTGAAACTCCTCCAGAGATACAGAATGATTTATGAAGTTACTGTATACTTAATCTACCAAAATGATACACCATGTGGACATCACAATTTGCAAACCACGAAGCACCACCACGAAAGTATCCAAAATTTTTCAAACATGCTTAAAAATACTGGAATAGCAGTCCCAATATGTATTTAAAGATCCAACTGTTTTCTTTTTTTCTTCCCTTTTGGATTTACTGTGCACTGTGAATACAGAATTCAGCAGTAGAAACAATTCTTCTAGCTGCACAACTTTCTAGCTACTGCTAATGCAGTTCTGCCCTAGTGGATGCAGTACTAGGTATGAATGCTACACATCAAATGCTGTGATACAAACTGGGGGATGTGTGAGGATTAGGGCATACCTCTAACAAAAGCAGATCAAAAAAGATGACCCTTAGTCCCAAAGAGCCTGCAGCCACCCCACCAACTAAGACTGAATAGGAAGGACTGGATTCAACAAAAAAAGCACCATTAAGTAGAGAGCCAATATTTTTACCTCAGCAGTAGATCAAGAATTGTAACCAAATACTATTTTGTATTCAAAGCAGTAGAAGATCATAATCCTTTGTATCAGAAGAGTAGACCTGGGTAGTTCAGGCATCAGCCTGAGAGGAGAACTAAGGCAGACAGTCCTAGACAGAAGGGTCCAAGGCAGTTGGTTGATTCTCACTGATCACTTTCTCCATCCTGAGGTGTGGGAAATCAAGCAAAGGTGGCAGGGAGCTATCAAGAATGAACAAGTTCCTGACTAAAGTAAAAAGGAACACACAAGGTGGAAACGGTGGCAAGTGACCTGGAAGAAATACAGACCCACTGTCTTAGCATGAAGGAATGGAATCAAGAAAACCAAAGCCTGCCTGGAGAAGAACCAGCAAGAATCTGAAGGGTATTAAAGGCTGCTATAGGCATGTCTGCAGCAAATGAAACCATGAAATTAGACAAGGTGTGAAGTTGCTGAAAGGGATGAGAAAAATTCCATTTTGATGCAAGGAAGGGAGGGAAAAAAAAAAACCACAGGCAGTTACTTTGAATAACCTCAGAAGATTCCTTTCAGAACACATAAAATGCAATCTTAGGCAACAATCCATAGCAGTCTCAGAGACAGAGGGAAGGGAGGGGTATCAGGAGGTCAGGTAGGACCATTATGGACAACAGTCATTCATATTATTGCTACATATTATTGCTACATATTATCCAGGACTTCTTGGATTTTTAAAGCCTTTATTTTCTTGCTGGGAGCTTTGTTGCTTGTTTTTCTCTCAACACATTTTTTTCCAGTTAGTCACTAAGGCAAACTTGAATTATTAGTGTACTTTGTGCAGTATTAAGAATGGTCTGAAAATAACCTGAAGGGCAGGGTATATCCTATTCATCAGGGAGAATTGTCTCAATATATCCACATAGTGCCACACAGACTGAGAGCTTTATGCTTGAAGTGTCATTTGGTGATTTTCACAATTCTTGGTGTTTTTTCAACTTACAAATATCATTGTTTCACTCTTCAGCTGACAGCTGCCTGAGTAGTACCTCCCCCATACACATTAGGATGATATATGATCAGTCCTCATCATCCATAAAAAGTCCTGTGTTTGTACATGTATCTCATATATGTCCCGATCTTGTTGATAACTTATTGACTTTGGCATGTTCTCCGAGGAAAAAAAGATTATGATTTGTACCCTTTCAGGTGATCACTGACTTTCTGAATTACTTAAGTCATCATAGTGCTCTGCAAAAGAAAATTAATTTACCCTATTTAGGAATGGATTGTATTACACTTTGAAGAGAACTCAGTGTCTATTACAGACATGTTGGGAATTCACATCAAAGAAAATATTCAGTATTATGTATCAATGCTGAAAACATTTCAGCACATACCTTGACTTCTAAGTTTAGACACTGCAGGATTGCGGTACAGATGCTGCATACTTGAGACTGCTTTCCTGGTATGTCGAGAGCCTTAATTGAAACATGAAGGTCTTTTAAGCTTCCTTGCTCCTGGAAAGTGTTTCTTTCAAGGAGCATTCAAGAAAGAGAATCTTGTCCTTTCAAGTGCCTAGATACACTATTCAGTACTATTTCCCATAGCAAAAGAACACTTAGTTTTAGTTCAAGAAACCCCAAAGGAGTAGCAAAACAATCTAGCAGAAGGGATGCTGCTTCCAGTTTAATACCATAGTATGAAATTTACAAAATAAATCACATGTGTGGATCTAGAAGTTCACCTTTGTATTTATGAGAGAAGTACCTAACCAACACTTAACTGAGGCACAAATCTTCTTTGCTGGATATCTCAGATCACTTCTGAAGTATTTACCAACATATTTGCATACTTGGACATGAGACCTGTAATTCCAGACAACCCTAAGTACGAAGTCTTGTGCCACGTAACCAGATGTCCTTACAATGCAATAAAAAATTTAATGGAAATAGCTTTCTTTTAACAGCAAAATATTAACATATACAGTAGAAAGCACTGATAGTCTGGACTAGCTTCGTTAACAAAATGCCTTGACTTTCATTGCCAGTTTCTGCTAATCAGTTCAAATCCTGCTCCTCCACCCGCTCCATTCTGATTATAAAGGGCAAAACCCAAACCAACTCAGGGTCCAATCCCCACTGTATTCAAGACAGAGGGGGGGAAAAAAGATTAAGTTCAGTCAAAACAATTTTTAGTTTCAACTTCTAAAATGGGGCAGTAATTACAGTCTGAAATAGTAAAAGGAGAATACAATTCTTTAAAAACTCAGCATGAAGAGGGCATAAGACAGTAGCACAGTACTAAATATTTATCACATACATACCTTGGCCAACATTCCTTCTGTGAAAGCTCTAAATATTTGGACTCACCTTTCTGGACCCCACAATAATTTAATGCAGAACAACACATGCCTATAATTGGTGGTAGGAGAATGGGAGAATTGAGGAAATAGAATATTAGTGACTCCTAATACCCAGGTACTATGTCTGTATGTTTTGTAGGGAACAACACTCTGATGCTTCCACTCTGGTAATGGAATGTGAGTGATAAAAACCATAAGCTTAAAGAATTTCTGTGGTGATAAAGAGGAGAAACTCTTCCTCACATGACTCCAGAAGTATACAGAAGATGCCTGATTTTTACTGTTTTCCTGTTTCCTATTCATAGTCTTTTTATGTCCCCTTACCTCAGGGTACCGTTTTTAACTTCTTCATAGTCAAGCCTGAACTGTGCTCTTCTTAGCTGTATTCTATAACCCCCTTGCTATACTCCCTGTATCCATCACCACAATGTACTCTAAACTTTACTCACTTCCACCAGAGACTGTATGTGGATGGTCCTTGTTTTATTTACAGCTCTGACAGTCCTACAGGATATATCCATTTTAGCTCTTATACTAGCCTTTAAGCTTAGAAACAACACATAGGCAGTTGAGTCTATGATATGCTTATAAGCTCTCCCTCTGAAATGGCACAAGAGACAAGATGAAGATTTGATTGCAGGATGCTTGCTCTGCAGTAGACAGGAAGCTGTTACCCATGGCAGTAGGCTGTAGTGAAAGTCCTGTATTCATCAATTCTAGAGACTACTCACATAGTAACTATGAGCCATTGTGGGCATGTGTTAACCAAACCTACTTTCCACCACCTTCTAAACTAGTTTACATAGTTGATGCAAGTATCTGTCAGAAAGACCTGTTTACCTGCCTTTGAAAAGTTAAGTTGACACAGTTCTTCCTTTAGAGGAAAGTGTGTGTGAGAGAGGGGATGTTGTTGGGTTGGGGTTTTTATTTCATGTATATTCCAATACAACTGAGTACTAGTATTCCATGCTGAACTGAAATACAGTTTACAAGGTTCTGGGGTTTTGGTCTTCTGAGGGTTGTTTGGGCTGCTTGTGTGGCTTTTTCACTGACTTAAAAGAAAAATAGGCATGACAATACATCAAGGTATTAACATCTTAAAAATTTTAAGGCACATTCCAACAAAATAAACTTTTATTGAATGCAATATTAGGCATTCTATTTTGTTTATGGGAACAGTGCTTCCCTCCCCCACAAGAGAGATTCCCTTTGACAATTTCCAAAAGCTGTATTTCAGTTACAGAAATATTTCTCATGATTAGAAACAACAAACTTCAGTCTAAATTTTTCTTGAATTATGAAGTGCAACTGAATTCTTACAGAAGACAATTTTCAGTAGGCACTAGAATGAGAAGCCTGCAAGTTGTTTGCAGCTGCTGGGTACAGTGTTATGTTCATTCAAATTTTATACTAACCCATCTAGAATGTTCTTTTAGAAGAACTATATAAAAAGTGGGATTTAAGAATAAAGAAATGCAGCTTAAAGATCAGGTTGTCACCATTTAAAAAAAAAGTCTTAATGGCAACCTGTGTATTTCATACCACTTCCACAGTAGGTCAGCTAGCACAGACTTAGTCCAATAATTTAAAACTTTAGATAGGAATGTCTTTTGGTTCTGAGCGTGGATCATAAGTCAACATGTTCAGTATGTGAAGGTTCAGTTGTTTCACTCTCTACTTCCTCTCCTGTGAAGTAAAATATCACAATTACAATACAAATCTACTATCAAATATACATATATAATTAATTATATAAATATAACCATGACTTTTGAAATTAGGATTTTTTTAAGTGAAACCCAAATGAACATACTTACCAAGACCAGAGAAGCAATTAGGCCATATGTAACACCTACTTGCACTATTCTCCTAATCAAAGCATGCATTTAGTTTTTTTACTATATGCAAACAAAATTTTTCAAATAAACTTTTATAATTCTATTAGTGGAAGTAAAAATAAAAACAGCACAGGCACTTCTATTCTAGGCTTTTGTTTTCAGCTATTCACAGTGAATTTCCTCCTTTCTACACAACCTCTCAGTAGTAGTTCCATTATTTGAAAAAACAGGGCAAGTCTTACTCAAAATTGTTTTTATAGTAAACTGCTCAGTTCAGATGTTAAAACAACCTTTAAAAAAGCAGAGCAATTTTATTATACTGGGAAAATCATCATCTAAGCAAAAAAAAACCTAAGCCAATTTGTCAACCTTTTATTTTACTATTAGTCTCAAAATGTCAGACCACATTAACAAAGGTAATAACTGATACCCTGTGTATCTGTATCAGAGAAGTACATAACTGATTCTAAAGGACTAATAACTGAGATTAAAAGGAATGAACTGAGTGGCCTCGAGCAGCAATACAACATCCATCTTTACAACTTATTAGTACAAGTTGAAAAATCAGTCTTGGGGACAGAAATGGGAGGACAAAAAAACTACCCAAACAAGCTAAGAAGTAGAAAGAAAATAAAGGTATGAAATTAGGTGTCTTTCATCTATTCTCCTACAGCTGTTATTGCAAAATAATCCCATCTTTCTCCATGGAATTGTAAAAGAGGTCTCGATGGAGTAATGGAACATTAAATGAATATAGTTCTGTCCATATGGGCCAACATATCCTAGAAAAAATGATAGTTGAATTTTTTGGCAAAAGGTATAATTTAAATGAAACTAAACAGTTCCCTGTGACTGACAGATGGACATCTTCCCCATTTCACCTTAACACCAGCTCTGGCACTCACATGATCACAAAATAAACAAATCCAGTTTTGTTATAGATCAGAGAGAATATGTAACTCTTTTTTTAATTTGTAATTTTCTGAGATTTCAGTGAGTTGAAGATTGCATGCAATCAGATTTTAAACCTTTAAGTCACTACAGCTAATGATAAAGGAAAAAACTGGGGAGGACAAACTCATTTTTATGACAGTAGAAATTTGCTAGCTCATTTTATGTAACAAAACCAAATCTTTAAGTGACTTAAAAACACAACCTTGAGTTAAGCACAAATGTGTTAGTAACACAAGAACAGAATGTTTAAGAACATAAACTAAGTAAAAAAACACAGGTCAGAGTGTGGCCTACACTACAAACTACTGATACAGACTACAGCTGTACAAAGATGAGAAATAATACAGAAGGGTTTACAAGTAACTAGACCCTTAGACTTAAATAAAACTCAAAGTTTTTGATACACCATATATTTTTTAATTGTTTTAAATTGTCCCTTAAAAGCTACTTGCCTGATTTTACAGTTTGAACACACGTTCCGTCCTTATCTTCAAACCCTTCTGAACATACACACTTGTAACTACCCGATGTATTTACACAGTCTTGATTCTCATTTGTGCAGACCTTTTCAGGAAGGTTACATTCATCTATATCTAAAGATAGCACAGGAAAGAAAGAGTCCACTGCTGTTATTTTGTTATAAAACTTTTTTGTGCTCAGTCATATAAACAAAATGCTGTTCAAATATGACAAACATTGAGGAGCAGAATGCTGCTACAACAGATTTAACTTCTGTTAAAATAATCTAATTCTTCATGATTTGGACTGTTTCAAAGTTATTCAGGTAACATCCAGAATGGTTGTTTTTTAATGTTTTGCAGATCCCTGTACAGAGAAATGTATTAAGCAGTTATGTTTGTCACAATTAGGCAATTTGTCTTAACCTACTGAACATCTCCCCCACAGTCATTTTCTATTTATGCCATCAAAGTATAGCTAAAGGGAACAGAGCTTGTAAATACTACAGCAGCACAGTTAATAGCTACTTCAGATTATGCTCTTTCCCACAAAGGAAGTCTAATTTCATGTTATAATTCACCAAGAATGACTATCATTTGAACTTGGACACTGATGGATTATCAGAATGCCTGTGTTTCTGCTACGAAATGAATAGAAACAGAGATCTGATGAAGTGGTTAAGTGACAAACAAAAGACTCATGTAGCTGTTTCCTGAACCTACTATAAAAATACCTTGTTCCTTCGTACCAGTGGTTCACTTTAAGCCTTGTCAATCATATTAGCTGAGTAATATAAAGGAAGTTATTGAGAACATCTTTGCAGCTAATACTGGAAGGACTAGGTCCATCTTGACGGGCATGAAAGCTGAAGCACACAAATGTGAATGTAATTCTGAGCTTCTCAAGCATGGCTAAAGTGCATAGCTAACCAAGAGTGAGTCACCCAGCGTTCTACTAGGTACTGATAAATCCACCAACCTGTACATTTCTCATCTTCCTTCACATATCCAGATGAGCAGGTCTTACATTTTTCAGAACCTTCTCCTGTGCAACCTACACAGCTGGCATCACATGCTAAAGATAAAATATTTTATGCATAAAAAAAATTTGTTTATCTGGGGTTTAAAATACCACCCTCAAAGTCAGACAGATTACCCACAGAAGGAATCATAGACTGGCTTGGCTGGAAGTTGATCTTAAAGATCATCTAGTTCCAATCCCCCTTAGGGGGTTGGACACTTTCCACTAGACCAGGCAGCCTGGAGTTCCATTAAACCAGTCTTTGAACACATCCAGGGACAGAGTATTCATAACTTCTCAAGTCCAGTGCCTCAACTCTCTCATAATAAAGATTTCCTTCCTAGTATATAATCTAAGCCTACTCTATTTCAGCTTGAAGCCACTCCTCCTTGTCTCATCTACTACATGCCCTTGTAAAAAGTCCTTCTCCAGCTTTGTTGTAGGCCTCTTTAGGTATTGAAAGGCTCTGGAGCCTTCTTTCATCCAGACTGGACAACCTCAGCTCTCTCAACCTGTCCTTATAGGGGAAGTGACCCTCTTGATCAAGATCTTCACAGCTGTCCTCTGGCACTCAGGCAGGTCCATGCCTTCCTTATGCTGGAGGCAGTACTTGAGGTGGGGGCGGGTCTTACAAAAGCCAAGTAGAAATAACCAGAAATCTCTTGTTTTGCTTGTACAATAGGTCTAAAGCCTCATCATCCCTGTGCCCAGTGAGGATCAGACCACACTGCACCAAATACATATCATGCATTTTATAAGCATTACTTCTAGCATTAGTTTAGGATTCTAGACAGTAAAACACAAAAGCAAATTGAAAAGAAACCTTTGCAAGAGAAAGATCCATCTGTGTTCAAACAATACTGGTGATCTTTGCAAGGAGAAGAAGCACATTCATCTAAATCTGAAACATAAAAAGTGACAAGTTACTTAAAATAGTAGTCAAGATTAAACAGACAGATGCTATAAACTGACTGCATTGAGAACAGTTGCTGCAATGTGTTTGGGGTCAGGTATGCAACATGGTAGACACAAAACCATCATGGTAACATATACTGTTTTGTTCAGCTTAAATCTGTATTAGAAAATCAAAATCGATCCTCATATGCTTTGTGATGACAATTAGAGATGTATCAGAAATTCAAGAGCTCAAATTAAATAAACTTCCAGTAAACCTGTGATCTTTGTCATTTTCAAGTCATGCATTTATGCAAATATTCTAACAAACAAGCAGACAGACTATTGTTTTGGAACACAATTTTCTTCTGTACTCCTACATTACCAAGTTATAGAATTCTTCATATGACTAAAAAATTTATACTAATGCACATACATGCACCTCTTGGTATTCTACACAAAGCAAATTGGAACGAATCAGGTTAAGATTAGCAGCAGTCAAGCTGAAAACCAATTCTACTTCAGAGTTAAACCATGCAAGTCTTATTATGATTTTGAGGAAAGGGTGCAACAGTATTTCATTAAAAAATTCAAACAAAGAAATGCTATTTCAGTCCCTTTCTTCCTGTCATTGCTGTCACTCTCATCTTGTTGCTGCACCCATCATTCCTATCGATTACAAAATTGATTTATAGTTCAGTAGTGGCAATAATTATTTGGAAAAAACTCAGCTGTACAGAAGACAGTACCAAAGCATCTTAAAAATGCCCTGGGAGTGCTCAGTAGTTGCCCAAGAAGGTACTGCAAGAGCTGTAATTCAAGTCCCAGTTCTCACTGGCACTTTGAAAAGGAAGCAGTGTTCATGTAATTTCTAAGACACTGTTTCTGGGCATTACATTGGAGGTCTTTAAAGGGTCAAATTCAACCACTTAAACAGAATGTGTTACTCTCCCCTAGTGCTTTCCTGCACTGAGAGTATTTTTATAGTGTTCACATTTTCCCTGAAGTGTTTCACATCTCCTCATAAACCAAGTTAAATGCTAAGATAAAAACAGGTAAGAGATTAATGGAAGCACTGAGCTTGATCTCTCCTAGTATTTCTGTCCAACAAAAGGAAAAGTTAGCACCCATGGCTTTTAGCGAGTGGTTGAACTCTACTAGGGTTGAGCATTTACAACGAAGTTATGTGAAGGTAAATGTACAATTAGTACAAAATAGTTAAGTTTATGAATTTTCTACTAATGGACAAAATAGCTGAAGTCAAGAGCAGGACATTGTTTAGCATTCAAATAAACACCAAAAAAACTCATGTCTAAAAATAAACACCCCACTTGCTGTTCTATGTATTCCACTAAACTAAAAAGACATACAGTGAACAGTTTGATAAAGATAACCATTATCACCAGGCAATCAGAAGTGAGAAAATACCGTTTTCCTGCAACATGAAATGAGTTAGGAAAAGAGAGACTAATAAAATTGTAGAAATCTAAACTGACAGATCATTTCCACAGAATACAATAAAACTCGGAAGTGATGTCATCTTGTCTTACTAGCCATTGTTACTACAAAACCTGTTTGAAGTCTGCCAAGCATTACTCACCCACACAAGCTCCATCTTCATTTTTAATCCAGCCTTCTTTACAGTCTTGGCAGTCCTTGTTACTTGAACCAGTACAAGTCTTACAGGCAGCATGGCAGGCTGGGAGGAGAAAAACTGAGCTTTGTTGAGAGATCCCAAGACAAGTTCGGGCACACAAACTCTCAGAGAAAACTATATTTAGCCTTCATTGGAAGCCATCATTTTTCAGTAGCTTCAAAGTCCCATTCACAAGATGGCACGTCTCTTATTTCAAGATTTAATATTGACATATGCAGCTATCTGACCAAAACAACTGCAAAATCCCAAAATATCCCTGGAAACCAAATCTAGCAATTACAGTTATTTGCACCACTGAGAACACTGCCATGAAATTCTAGTGACTAGAAGTGGCAGGTCCAATTTCTAAAATATTTGGAAAGAGGAGATCAGGAAGGCAAATTTAGCTCAGCCTCTCAAGGCTAGGACATGAGTTTAAACATAAAATTCTGCATTTTTTTTTCCTAATGAATCGTCAAACTACCTCATAGCTAGTTTGCAAACTACCTCACAGCTAGCTATGAGAGCAATGTGTGAAGTGATTTAACTCTAAAGAACTTCAGAAGAAAATATACTAAAAATCCAGCTGTCTATGCGTATTGTACACGTGTATATATATAACATACACATATAACAGACACTATGTAACATTTGTATGCTATATGTTGTAATCTAAGTATGCTATATATTGTAATCTAAAACAAATCATATAGAAGAATTACTACACAACCAGATTAAAATGAAAAACCCTAACAAACTATTTAAAAACAATCTTATTAGATCCCAGGGTCAGGATGTAACTGTTGCAGAATTTAACCAAGAGTCTAAGAACAATTGAAAATCTGACTAATGCAAAATTTTATTCCTACAACCTGACTTTGTTTCAAAATTAAACTTAGGCATATCTAACTGGAATCTAAGTCGTTTGCAGTACAGATCAACTCTTTCCATGCCCATTGATTCCATTTTTGATTATCTGAGACATGAGCAAAAACTATGTTTTAAAGCAGTCCAGTATGTAGCAATTTCAGCTCAAGATCTTAACAGTACTTTGGAAGCAGAGAAGCAAAGATTTTTATGAATTCTACTTCTTAAAGCAGAAAAAAAAAATTTAAAAATCAAGGGCAGTGTGGAAAGATGACTTAGCAAAACCTTAGAATTCCAGCAAACCGTCTTTTATGCTTAAAGCTGAGTGACCAAACTATGTTTTGTTTCTACATTTGTTAGTTACAACTGCCTTTATTTTTGCTTGCAAAAAACTGAAGAACTAACACAAAGATAGAAGCATGTGTTAAGACTTGGTTACCTGTACAAACAGAGTGTGTCTCATTTCTCAAGGAACTGAAGTAACCACTGGAACAGTCCAAACAAAATTCTCCTGTGTACTCCTTTTTACAGCTACATGAGCCATCTCCACCTCGGGTACCATCACCATCACAGTGGCCATTCCCATGGCAAGGTCTTTCTGATCCACCACGACAAGCTAAAAAAGGATCAAAAATGTTTTTAAATCAGATGTTTAAGGAAATAAGTTCTGACTTCCAGGCACAAGCATCCAAAGTCCATCCCTCTTTACAGAAAAGAAAAAAAAAAAAAAAATTTAAAAATGTCATGCTAAATTCTTCTATTCCTTCTTTAGAAGGATATATTTTCCAAGAGTCTTTTTCACCCTTGGGAGTAACCAAAAGTTTTGCAATAAGGCAATGCTCAATAATATATTCAAGTACAATAGAAACTCAAACCAATCTCCCAGAAAGTTCAGTTATCAATTTGATTTTGGGTAAAGACCATGGATCAAAATTTTATTTATTTTCCAATTTTATTCCATCCTAAATAAAATTGGTGTTTTTATTTTTTCTGTATCTCTGAGACAGCTCATATCACATTTGTAAAAGTCTACCAGCTATCATTTAGATCAATATAGAGAATGGAGACTTAATTTTTACCCATATATTAAGTGCTCAAAATTGATCTCTTAACAAGGTACAGTTTTAGAGATTTAAAAGTTTTACCAGCTTCAGAGGCAAAAATATCTCTCATCACTTTTGCAAAGACCTTATTTTCACCTCCCACCTACTTTTACCCAATTTTTCTCTTTGCCTTTTTAACTGATCAACCGTTGCAAGTTTCTTCATTTAAACCCCTGCAGCATTTGGGTAGTTTTAGTTTTAAAACTGGTCAATTATTGTTGTCCACAGAGATTCTGCAAGACCACCTAAACAACAGGCTTCATGTTACAAGGAGCCTTTAAGGATGGGTCAGGTGTGGATATGAGCATCACACTGATTGTCTCTGCACATCTCAGTACCCTTGACAGCTTAGTACATTACTACATGCCCAGAAGATTTTTATTCAGGCAGGATATTCACAAGGTAGCCACTCAATTATGAGGCACCAAGCAAGTACATACTACACAGCAGCCTGTGTCTCATGCAAAATATCATACATCATATATTTGTCCATGACAGTAAAAACTGAAACAAACAGGTTAAAAAACTGTATCTGCCACTGAATTTTTCAGAAGAAAAATTACCAAGGCAATCAGGTCCATAAGTTCCAGGAGGGCAGCAAACTTCTATTGTTTCAATGCAAAACCACTTAAACAAATCTGGATACTTCTTCTTTCTGCATATGAAAGATTATATGAATAGTATGTATTAATTTACAAACAAAAAGAACAAATATTCTTTAAAAGCCAACTCACAACTGACCCAGCACAACAGAGGAGAGAAACCTATTGCACATGACAGATTAGAAACCTATTTCTTCCGAAGATTTCAGGAATCAATTTCTAGAAGTAGTCCTCCAATTTGAAAATGCACCTTTTAAAATACAATACTATTTATAAGCTCTACTCAAATTTTATAGATCATATTTAAGAAGAAAGTGAAATAAGAGCAACACATAAAATCAATTCATCTTCATACATGCACACACCCCTTTTTTTAAACACCTTACTTTTAGGGAAGGCTTATATATAGTTTAGACAGTCTTATTTATGTCTTTCTCTTACAGATAATTGCCGTACCTTTATATCAAGTATACAGAAGACAGCCCGTAAGAGATGCCAAAATTTGTTCAAATTACTGGCAACTTGACAATAGGGTTAAAATTTCTCCCTTTTTTTACCATTGATCAAGTATTGTTTTAGAAGACATATTTAAAATTAACAAGTTAGTTATGTGCTGCTTGAGCACCAGCATACAAGCTCCCTGCTCCTTGCAGGACTTCCTACACTAAACTATGTGAGCTAGAGTGTCCTCCAGATGATTCCTGAACTCTGACAGGCTTGGTGCTGTGGGGAACCTGTTCCAGTGATCAACCACTCTTTATGTAACAACATGTAAGAAATACCTAAGGTTGATGGGCAAAGAAACTGTCTTTGGAAACTACGACAGAAACTGAATGACATTTGGATACTTTAGGTTAAAGAAAGGAATGCAAACAATCAATTGCATGCACTCAAAAGGTCTATTAAAAACAGAAACTTTCCAAAAGCCAATGTGTTTTATGAATTGTTTTGATTATTTCAGGAAGTCTACTTTGTCAAATTTTCTAGTTTAAGACCAGTTCCGCAAATTTTAGCCGAAATAAAGACTTTGGGTTGCATAGTTTACCTTTCTGGAAGGCATGTCCTATGAGGAGCACCTAAGGACTCTGTACTTGTCTAGAAGGAGGTGGAGGCCTCATTGCCCTCTGCAGCTTCCTGAGGAGGGAAAGGGGAGAAGGAGGTGCCGATCTCTGTTGTACTTAATGACAGGACACAAGGGAAGGGCTCACAGCTGCACCAGGAGAGGTTTAGACTGGACATTTGGAAACATTTCTTTACCAAGAGGGTGATCAAATACTGGGACAGGTTTCCAGGAAGGTAGTGGAGGACCCAAGCCTGTCAGTGTTTTAGAGGTGTTTGGACAATGACCTTGACAACATGCTTTAACTTTTGATCAGCCCTGAAGTGGTCAGGCAGTGGGACTAAGTGATCATTTTAAGTTCCTTCCAACTGAAATACTGTATTTTCTGCTCTGCTATTCTATTCCCTTCACAACGTGTTGACACATATGCAATCTTGTATAGGTAGGTAAAAGGATAAAGCAAGCAGTCATTTAAAAGTAAGTGGAGGATCAAAAAGCCTTATCCAGCTATGAAACGTTATAACAGCAGTTCATCCTATTGAATTTGAGCTAATTAGGAGTGCTGACAGTCTAAATTAGTGAAAAATACTTAGAAGAAATGTGATTTGGAACTAAAAAACCCAAACATTAAGAAATTTAAATGTTACACTGCCATCCACGCACTAATTATATTTAAGACTGGTATACAAAAAACTTAGGTATAACACAATTTCCAGTCTGACCTAAAATGCAGGTAGAAAAGTCAGTGTCTACTGTACCATCCTCAAAAGATCCAACTTCTTCACTGAATAACACCAGCTGTTATTTGATTGCCAGGAGAACAAAATGTAGTTTCAGGAAAAAAAGCAAGCAAACAAAAAACCCACAAGAACCAAAGAGCCTCTTGCAGTTTTGTGACAAAGGAAAAGAATAAGGGACTAAACTTCAAAATTTTTCAATGTTAGTTTGCCTTGACAGCCTGCTGGTAACTAAGTAGACAGTATATAAGAAACAAGTGTAGATCCTTTGGCACAACACTGCTGGAATTGAAAATCAAAAAGAACATAGTACAGCAGTACATGATACTAAAAGTTAGCCTGAAACTAGCTGTACACAATGGCAGCTCTTGAAAGACAGTAAAGAATTACTCATACTGCTATTGTACAGGCACAAGATTTAACATTATTAGTTCATCCTTTTAGATAATTTACTCACACAAAGATCTTCACCAAGAAAATTATACTTACACCTTGAACCACCATTTCTCTATAAGTTCCTCATGTTCCTCTACCATGTTGTTACATTCGAAGTTACTACTGTCACACAGATTCTCTATGATCTCTACAAGACGAATTTCACTATAAGCAGAGAGGAAAAACCGTAAATTTAATTTAAACATTCAATACAACTCAAGACCTGACAGAGCAGCCAGACTTCAGTGAGAATATTTCACCAGTTTATGGGGTACCCTGGATTAGTTTAAATACATACCAAATATCAGAGTAAAGAACTAATAAACATTACTTCAGTGATTACTACTATGACTAATAACAGAATTAACCCCTGTTGTTTTCAGAAATAAGACTAATAAAGGCAATAATAAGGTGTTTGAGTCTTTACTATAATCTTTAGATTACAATGTAATGTAACATTATAATCATTAAGAATTTAAGGTTTGGACAAGAGAAACCTTAGTTGCCAAGTACAATATATAAGTTCCAAGCAAACACTGATACACACAGCGAACACAAAATGCAGCTGAATAAGAAGTGCTGAGACAGCTTACCTGGACTCATACTTTGACAGCGTCTTCTCTTCCCAAGCAGTGTTTCCACCACCAAAGTTTTTTTTAGCTGTATCTGCTAAACCCTACATATAAAAAGTACCAGAAATTACATAGGGTTTGTTTCTAACAAAAACTAAGGGTAATAACAAATGCCTACATAAAATTGTGAAAAGCACCATGCATAAACTACAGTAAAGCTCTCAAGCTGCTGATCAAATTCCTGAATGAAAGCAACAGCTAATGACAACATGAAAAATGAGAAAGTGTATGTTACACGATAACATGATTAAATTTTCCTAGTGCATAAACAAGGCCACGTTACAGCCGATTAAAAAACAAAAAACCGAAACAAAACCATGTATGTATGAAACTTTACACCCTCCTCCCTCAAGTTCTTAGGAAATTTATTATTTATTACCATTTGAACAGAACCTCTACTTCATTCAGTTTTGGTAACAGCCCGGTCTGCACCACGTTGTAAGCTAAGCACAGAAGCTTACAACAGGGCGATCAGCACAGCTGATCCCAATGGTAGCCAGTGGTACCCAACGTCACCTCGCAGGAAACCCCGCAGCTCAAGAGACCTGGAGAGCCCGCAGCAGCCGAAATGCGTACGGAGAGTACAAAGCACCGGCCACCAGGCACCGCAGCCCCCGCTGCCGGCCCAGAATTTACTGTGCCACACGTACGGCTGCTGCAAGTAGCCACAGACAGCGAATGTTTGGGTACGAAGCTTTCACCAGCACTTCCTATGGAGCCGAACACGCTCCAATGGAGACAGCCTTTTTGTACAAAAAGCACCAAAGCACCTTTGACGGCGGAGATGGAGCACCTCTGCCACCCACCCGCCTTAGCACTGCGACCGCTGCCGGAGCGGGACCCGCTGCTG